AAAAGCATTTAAGTCCAAAAGTTTCATAAAATCAAAGCGAAAGTCTAGACTTGTCTCAATTAGCCATCTATTACAATAGAAGTATCAAATAGGGTCATGGCCCTTACAAACACAAAATTCAAAATTCTAATACAATGAAAGAAAGGAACTACAAGATATCACTCGTCCTCGAATCCATGAGGACTCACCACAAGCAAGGGGAATAGTCGGTCCAAGCTTTGAACAAGAAGGAAGATCGTCTCAAACACCGGACCCTACACCTATACAAAAATGTAGAAAATATGGGTTAGTACAAAAATGCACTAAGTATGGTAGTCATCTATAAAATCATGAAGACATGCTAAAAGGTAAATTTTAGTTGAAAAACATGCACTTTGTCAAGCTTAAGAATCTTCATGAAGATTAGTGCAAAAGCATAAGTCATAAGCATATTCAACATATAGTTCATCATATCATAATGGAAACATACCATAAATAATCTCAAAGCATCCTTGTGAAATGCATGAATAAGATCCCATAATCCTACCCACACTAAGGAAAGGTTCTTAATTAACTACAGTTCATATTCTTGTTCATACTATCATAGTGGGATTAGCCTTAACCGACATAGAGCATGTGAGCTTAATCATGGAATCTGGTGTCTACCCCACACCTAAAAGGGGTTGTCCTACTTGCCTAAGGTAGAATCATACTCTTAGCTTAGGTGGATCCACTAGCTAAAGACCTATGTGGGCACATAGTTTATGAGATAAGGAGATTGCTTCTAGAAACCCGCCCTCTACTAACGGAGGAGCTTCCATCTCATTGTTAATATCCTCTCGGTACTAAGCATAATTCCCATTGAGTTCATATTAAGTCTTGACTTAAATTGATTATTATGGAAGAATGTCTTGACACTCAATCCAACATAACTCATACTAAAGCTCCTAGATTCAATGGGTGAGACTAGTCTTCCAACCTTAGAATCATTACATGTGACCAACCTTTCACATTATATCATTTTCATACAAAAGTGTGTACATGAGGATAACTTCCAACAACACAACAACTAGATCACAATTATAATCACTTTACTCTCAAAGTGTTCATAAAGCATATACTTACGTCTCATAATCATGCATAATTCATATACCTTGCCCTTCAAGGACCATAGATCACAATCCATCAATACATCGAGAATTACTACTTTACACACGGATGATAGCATAATTCAAGTATTCAATTCATTACATTCATAATTCTATAACATTATGCTTGCATCAATCAATAACCACACTTTAAGATCCAATTTGAGAAAATAGGGTAATTCATGGATTCTTGGGGAATTCAACTTAAAATAATATAAAATCACCAATATATCCATAATTAAACATAATCCAATCATTTAAAATGAATTTGAAAGGAATCCATGAGATTGAAGTCAAACCCTAACTTTTGGATTTTCTAACTTTGAAATTGGGGGTTTTGAAGGGGATCCATGGGTGAAGGCTACCTATGGATGAAGAACTACCATACCTTGATGAAGAATTACCACGAATTTGAGGAGAAAAGATGGATCCTTCAACCCTAGCTTCAGCTTTCTTCTTCTTCCTTGGAGTTCTAGAGAGAATATTTTAGAGAGGGTTTTGGTTTTGATTTGGGGATTTAGAAATTATGATTTAGAAGACATAATTTGGTGACTAAAAATCTTTATATAGGTGTCCTAATTTAGTTTAAAACGACATCAGTTAACCCCCACTTAAAATAAGAAATTGCCCTAATGCCCTTAAGTGAAACTGCCTTTCGGCAGTTACAGGCAGGACCTACGACCCCACCCATGGACCGTGGGTGGGACCACGCCCCATTCAGGTTGGGCGTGGTCTTTGGTCTGTGGCCTGTTTCTAGGGGGCTTGACACATGACCCCTACCCACGGGGCGTGAGTGGACCTACGGGGTGTGGGTTGCCCTCGTGGGTCACTGCCCAGGTCACTTTTGAGGCTTTTGCTCAAGGACCTATGGTTGGTCCTTAGGGTTTAAGACTTGACGTTCTAACACGAAAACATGAATTTTAAGGTACAGGGAGGTACTTAAAAAATCGTCGTTTTTTCTTTTTAAAATAAAACAGAATGTCGACTCTGCTGTGGAATTGAATTGGGTTCTAACCTTAAAATTAATTTGTTTGGCAAATATTTGTTGTTTATTTGCTTATTTATTTAATTTTTCTCAATATTAAACTGTTGCATTCATGGCATGACATATATTATGTCAAACGATACTTATTTTCATTTTTTACTTAAAGGACGATTATATGGGCCGCAATCGTTCGTTAACCAAATTGTTCTCGAGGTACCCTGGCGAATGTAGTTGGCCAGTGGATGGTCAACGGTCGTTAACTGTCCCAGCCTTAGTAGTCCGCTTGGGTCACCAATCTACTATAAATAAAACCCACTCTTAGTCAAACTAGTGTAGAGCTGAACTCAATCCCGAAATTTAGCGCATTTTGAAGTAAGATGACCCAACACCCAACACATGTTGGACCCATTAGAAAGACCACCTTGAATCCAAAACGGCCCACAGCCTAAACGGACGATCATACTTATGTGTTTAAATTTAAAGGATGTATACGTTGTTTGAAAATCATTGTTCCTGGGGGTTGGGAGTTTACTAGTTTGTTAGAGTCAAAGAAGGAGTTGTACAAGCGACTATTCTATACAAAAGTGTGGACATCCGGAGACGACAAGAAGCTCAAGAGCGAAGGACCTTTCATGGAAGTTTAGTTTAGGATGGTACCCCTGCCCGGGACTGATTATTTTGTATCCCTTTTCCCATATTATGTATCCACATTTGGTTTATTCGCAAAACTTGTATAAATATGGGTTTTGGGACAATGGAATGTTTCAAATGACATATACATCTTTCAAATCGTTAGGCCTACCCTTGGCACAAAAGGGTCACATATCCGTTTAGAACGCGCAATATTCGTTTATGTGTTATAACTGCTTGTGTGAATATGTTGCTTCATTTGGAGATATTCTAGCTCACTCCTCTTCAAAAATTTTAGAACCCCTATGCATAAATATCAAGTCACTATCAAAAGTATGTCCAAATACTCTTCGATTCTTTAGTTTCCCAACAAGAATCAAACTTCTCTTCAAATTTTAAATCTTACTTTCTCATCTCGGAAAAAGGTTCAATTTGCCATCTCAACTCAAAAAGAGATTCAAGGCAGTAGAACTACGTAGGACCTGAATTCTCCCTCATGAGATACGTAGGAAGTCTTTCAAGACTCGATCCCCATTTTTGAGAAATTTTATCTTCTTTCAACTCTTACAAAGAAATTATAGTTTCATATTAATTGAAAATCAGAAGTATGTTAATGAAAGATACAATCGACTTTGTCTCAACTCGAGTCAACATTTCTGATTCACTTATATCAAAATCAAATTCACAACTTCCTGTCTATTTAGTCATTACTCTAAATACGTGGGCTAGTTTATCTTCAACTGGAGCAACTCTTATGTGTTTGTGGTCGTATGTGTGATATTTTGTATTATTTATCATCTACATAGACTAACACGTTTATCTTTTGATTTATTTTTCTTTGTCAGGTACTTAAAACTGATCTATGTTGATAAGTTGGTTGTTCATCCTTATTTCACAAGATCTAAGGCCCCCAAAGATTCCTTCCCCGATCATTTTTGCAAAAAGGAAAGGCAGTAATGGGTGATAAAAATGACGAGATTAGCTTGACTGATGTTGTCGTGGCTCAGTCCGCCGCCGCTGATCAAAATGAATTAATTATGCAGTTGATGCAACAGATTGCCGAAATAAGGATCGAAATGCAAATAAGGCAAGATTTGTCTAATCCAACTTTCGCTTTCAACCCTCTTGGAGATGGAAGACCTCCACTCCACTTTCCTCCACCAAGCGCGGAACAGGTTCATATCCCGCCCTTTAACCCCACTCAAAATCCCCCAATCATTGATCTAACCGCCCCAAATCCCCATCATGCCTCTGTCTCTTACCAAGCGCCACCTACTCCTCAAGGTACCAACCCCCAAACCTTTCTTCCTCATCAAAATGCCAAACCGCAAGCTTGCCCTCCCCCTCAAAATTAAAATGTTAACAATCCCCAAACCTTCCCCCATCACCAAAATCAACATACCAACCCCCAGACTTTCCCCCAAAATTACCACGCCACTCAAAATACCCAGAATCCCTTAATTGCTCCGCCATTGCCTCAAAAGACTACTTTCCAAAATTCCAATTCCAAATGAACCTTATGCCAACTGTTCCGAGCTTGATCACTATGAGGAACAAGAGGGAGAGTGGAGGCCAATGGAAAAGGTAGCCAAGCTGAATATGAAAGAAGAGATCAGGAAAGCCATGAAGGAGATGCATTGTATTCCTGAAGTCGATGGGTTGAGTTATGAGGATCTGTGCATCCATCCAAATCTGGACCTCCCGAAAGGGTTTAAAGTACCAAAATTTGACACTTTCGGAGGAACAGGGAATCCCTTGGTGCACCTGAGAGCCTATTGTGACCAGCTCGTGGGAGTTGAAAGAAATAAAGCCCTATTAATGCGGCTCTTTAGCCGAAGTTTGAATGGAGAAGCCTTGGAATGGTTTACTTCCCATGAGATAAAGCAGTGGTCTAGCTGGAATGCACTAGCTAAAGATTTCATCGAATGGTTCGCCTACAATGTGGAGATCGTTCCTGATCGCTATTCTCTGGAGAGAATTAAGCGGAAATCCCCTGAAAGCTATCGTGAATATGCGTATAGGTGGAGGAAAGAGGCCACCTGGGTTCGACCTCCTATGTCTGAGAAGGAGATCGTTGAAGTGTTCATACACATTCAAGAGCCAGAGTATTATGACAGTGTAATGTTGCTCATTGGAGCAAAATTTGTGGAGATAGTCAAGGTGGGTGAGGCTATCGAAGATGGGATTAAAACTGGAAAGATTTCTCGCGTTGCCGCCTAACCGAATCTTTAGGATTGTTGAAAAAGAAGAGGGAAGATATGTCTTCTATTTCCTGCGCATCTGATGGAAAAGGACACTTCAGAAAATCCTCACCTTACGAAGGTTATCCTCGAGCTCCTCAAAATTCATATCCATCTTGTTATACCCAATCAGGTTATCAAACTCCATCATCGAGTTACCAAATTTTACCTCCTAATTACCAAACTCCACTAGCGAGTTACCAAATTCCATTTCTTGTTTACCAGACTCCATCTCCACATTACCAAAATACCCATCCATATTACCAAGCTCCATCAGTTAATTGTTCAAATATCCAATCAAGTTACCAAATTCCACCCCCGCACTGCCAAAATAGCCCTTCTAGCTACCGAGCTCCACAATACCCAAATTTCCAAACACAAGCACCAACTCACCAAAATCCTCCAAACTACCATCAAATACCTTCATATCCAGGAAATAATTACAATCCTCCTCGCCCAAATCTTGAGAAGAAACCTTCTAGAGTCTTTACTCCTTTGGTTGAGAGTTGAACACAACTTTTTGAAAGATTGAAATCAGTTGGCCTGATACAGACAATTGATCCAAAAATATAAATGTCAACTCCAAGCTTTATAGACCTGATCTTCACTGTGCTTACCATTCAGGAGGTGCTGGGCATATTACTGAGGAATGTATCAACTTGAAGCATAAAATTCAAGGCTTGATAGATCAAAAGGCCGTCACTCTTCAAACTGTCACTCCTAATGTCAATAGTAACCCCATGCCAAAGCATAGAGGGTTAACTATTAATATGGTTGAAGTCGAAGAAGATTTGAATGTGAAGAAAGTTACAATCTCAGCCAACCTTGAAAAGCTTGAGAAAGTTGTCGCCTCTCCAACCAAAAGAGAGACATCCAAATTTGTGATCATGGCACCTCATCAAGCTTTTGCTTTAGTGCTGAAGGAGGGTTAGAACAAGCAGAAGTTCGATCAAACTTTTCCAAAATCATTGCCTCACTTATATCAGTCTTTTCCAATGCAAAATGGTCTAGGGGAAGGAATCAAAAAATTGGTTCAAAGAAGGTGATATTGTGTTTGAAGAGACAATAGAGACATCTGTCATACCAGACAGCGAGTCAAAGGAGAAAATGCCTAATTGGGCATCCACTTCGCTCTTGATTCCTCGCTCGTCTTGGTAGACATAACCATGTTTTTATGTTATTTCTAAAATTGGTCGTGTTTCGAATGAGGCTCGAGACCCATCTTTTACTCTATTTTTGCCTCACTATGTTTTAATCTCCCTCCTCTTATTTTGAAAAAGACAAAATGATTTATCGTCATAGCCAAAGTTCTAATTTTCTTGTTTCAAATGAAAACCTCATTTAATGCGGAAACTTGCTTTACTTGCCTTATATTTTCTATCTAATAGTATCTGTCTATGATTTCGGTGAAAATATTTTCAAATCTGCCAATAGCATGTCATGTCACAAGCTGAATGAACAAAATGGGGTAGATGCAGACGAATTTAAAGACTACAATGAAATGATCATGGTACCTAAACACCTGGTTGAGGAATTCAGACAATTCAAGAGTCACAATGAGCCGAATTTAGGAGAGATTAGAATAGTGAATCAAGAAAATGATGAATGCATCAAAGAAATCAAAATTGGTGTCTATCTAACAAAAGCACAGGAGAGAGAACTCATCAGTTTGCTTAAAGAACAAATCAATACATTTGTTTGATGACATTACATGGTTGAGCATGAATATTGGATCTCACAAGTCGTCAATCTGCTTAAATATTGTTAAAAAATACCATGTTTGAAGACTCGATTTCTATCTTTTCCTTGTAACCACCTTTATTTACTTGTAATCCTTTATGCTTAGAATATATCCCTCTGTAATGAACTATGTCTGACCTGAATTCTCAAGAATGAGATACGTAGGCGGCCTATGT